GGTTTGGTGCTATTCATGAGGCACCTAAATAATTCAAAATAATCATATTCCCTAGAATCAAATGTAGGAATCACAGCTATGCAGAGCTAGTGCAAAATTCAATTTGTACTAATCTGCCTTTGAGAATAAAAGCATGAAATATAGTAGAATGTTGGCATCACTTGTCTGTTGTGCAGTTAATTTCTCTCTTCTTTCCTTTTCTTAATTTCTCTGTATCGTATAGACATGAACATATTTAAGGTAATGTGATTTTAAATTTATTGCTTACATTTCAGAAAAGTAAAAAAGTCCTTACTTAATATAGGTTTTTTTTCCTTTTCACTATTCCATTAAGGGGTAACTGTGTTATGGGAATATAAGGAAAAGGAAATTATTCACAAGAAAAAAAATTAAGAAGCCTGTGTTTAGCTTTTTATTAGAATGAAATCCAAAAACCAAATTAATAAACAGAAAAGTTTTAATAACTGTTTTCTTGAGTGATTCAAAATTAAGGCAAATATAAGCGTTAATTTCAGGGATAAATTTATCACTAGAGTACTTTATTTCTCATGTTCCTGTTCCCTGGAATGGGGAAAGGACATACCCGCAACATTTCAATAAGCAATGTGATATTGAAGGCACAGAATCAGTTAGAAGAAGCAGAGTGATGCCACTTTTGTACATGTTCAAATATGTATACAAATTTTACATGAATGCTCAGTTCAAGGATGACTGCTTAACAGTCGCTGTGAATTCTTTTGCTTTAATAAGTAGGGATTTTCTATTAAGGGCAATTCTTCCTTTTTATCTTAGAGGTGAAGTCATCACAGATTTTATCAGATTGAAATGTAGTAAATGCATGCAGTTATTCTCATGAGAAGCAAGGGCCTGCACAGCTTAGCTTGGACATGTAGGATGGGCAGGAAAAGGGAAGAGTTGCTCCTAAACAGCAGTGGAGGCCACCCTGATCTGTTTGACAGTCTCCAGCCAAGAACTGGAGGTGGTGTTCCTGCAGAGTCCCTAGCTCACAGAGTGATGCTCCAAAGGGCCCTTTGTGATGGAAAAATCAGGTCAGTGTAAATACTGCCTGGCACCAGTGACCTCATGGCTTTACCACAGGGATAGATTTGAAGGAGAACTGTGATCAGAAGGGCTTGACCTAAGGTAAGAGCTCACTCTGTGTGCTACGCTGTCAGAGTTGTCTGACACTGGAAGCTCACCCGGCCTCCTGCATGAAATAAAACTGTTCCTGTGTAGTCCATGCTAATTAAAGGAGGAAAACTGAAATCTGACGTTAAACTGATTTATGTGAAATGGTATGAGTGACATTCTCTGCTGAATAATACCAGTTGGCTGGAAAATGTATCGCCTCCCTTGTGAGGGAAGGGTTTGAAGAACATTCTTCTGCAAAGGTAGGTAATTTCTGCTTCAGCTGAGAGGAGCAGTGTGGAGTAGGGGAAACAAGACACAAATGTGTATTGTTATAAATATGACATCACAGGAAATGAGTCTGGGATCAGGGGCTGATATGAAACCAGCACTAGAAATTAAAAATAAGTGGGCTGTGAGATGCCATGTGATGTTATCTGTGAAGAGATAGAAGAGGGAATCAGTAGAAAAATAATCAAATTACAAAGCTGAAGTAACACTCTTTGCAGTTCTGCTCCAAGTGCCTGTAAAGGAGGAAAGACTTTAACAAGACAAGAAATAATATTTGAGGAGAATTTTGACAGAATCTTTCCTTGTGTGGAGAGAATAAATAGTAAAGGCTGGATAATAGAAACATTACTTAGAACATAAATGTAGGATTTTTAGTGTGTTAATGGTGGCTTTGAAAGGTTCTGGCATAAAATGAAAGATTGTGATGGGAATTAAGGTCACCATCTACTTGTACAAGTTTTATAAGAAGGTGTTGATTCATCACACGCCACAATGACACCTTTTTTGTGTGTGTGTGTAATTGCAGTGGTCTTCCCACCTGCAGCCTCAGGGACATAAAACCACAAGAACATGCTTAGTCATCTAGACTATTTGGGCTGTTAAGTTTTGCTTGAACAAGTAAGTTTGTTGATTTATTTCTGGTTTCTCTTTTGCATATTAATAGTTACCAAAGGCAATTGCAAGATATTTGAAAAAAAAGATTCTCAAATACCACTGTGTCACGAGAGGATGGAAGCTGGGTCTGAAAGCATTGATTTTTTTTTGGTTCTAAAAATACACAAGCCCAACTGCCAGCTGCTGTATATCAGCTTAGGCCCCTGGAAGCAGGTTTACACCAAAGGAGAGTCTGGCTCTTCCCTGAATTTTGCTTAATTCCATCCTATTTTCATTCAAGTATGTGCTTCTGAGAGGATAAGCACTGTAGTTCTTAAGGGCTGCAATATCTTAAAATATAAAATAAATAAGTGGCTTTGGGATAAAAATTTTCTCTCTGTCAGTGGCATAATGTTTGGGCTTGAAATGTTATCATCAAAGAAAGTTTTATCTTGAAAAACTCTGCTCTCTGGCTCTGAATATCAAGCCAGGTAAGATTCTGAAAATATTGAATTATCTGGGGGGGAAAAAAAAAGAAAACTGAAAAGTAGTAAGGATTCAAACCTTCCCCTAAACATTGCTTTGAGCAAAGGCAGTGTAAGGTCTTCCATATCTGTAATTCGAATGGGCTAATCTGAGACATTCCTGCAGCTGAGACCTGGCTGTGTGCTCTGCCGGGTTCCATTTGTAATATTACAAATCTTTACAAGCAGAAATAATTTGGGATTTGCTGTGTTATCATTAGAATTCTCATCATAGGAACAGAAGTGACCACTGCAGATAATGCTACAAAACTGTTTGTACTCTAACATTTCAAATTCACTTGCTCAGTAGTGGGAAAATTTACTCCTTCTAGGCTAAAGCTTTCAGGCTTTAGCACAGCTGGACAGTTATTTGTTTATTTTATTTTACCTGGAAATGAAGAAAGAAAGATGGATGATTTTGAAGAGGAGCAGAAGAATGTGTATTTGCTGCAGATTGTGATGGGTTGGTTCTGGCTGCATGCCAGCTGATAGACCAAAGCCAGTCTATCACTCCCCTCCTCAGCAGTGCCTGTACTCCACACCTGCAATCCTGTCCCCAGTTTTGGGCTCCTCACCTCCAGACAGATGCTGAGGTAGGGGGGCATGTCCTGAGCAGGGCAGCAAAGCTGGTGCATTGTCAGGAGCACAGGGCTTGTGAAGAGCAGCTGAGCTGTGGGAGCTCAGCCTGGAGAAAAGAAAACTCATGGGAGATCTCATTATTCCGTACCACTACCTGAAAGGAGGCCATGCTCTTCACCCAGGTAACAAGTGACAAGAGGCAGCAGCCTCAAGTTGCACCAGGGAAGGTTTAGGTTGGATATTGGGAAAGATTTCTTTGGTTTTCAAGCATTGGAGCAGGTGTCCCAGGGAAGTGGTGGAACCAAGATCCCTGGAAGTGTTCAAAAATCATGTGGGTGTGGCACTTGGGAACATGGTTAAATGGGGAACTCAGTGATCCTATGGTAACAGCTGGACCTGATGATCTTAGAGGTCTCTTCTAACCTTAACAATTCAAATGTCTCTATGATTTTGCTATGGTCAACTATTTAAACCATTTAGTTACACTGAAAGTCATACACTTGACCATTTAAATCACATCAGGAATTTACAATGAGAGTTCACACCGGATAAAACAAATCAAAAACTACAAACAAAACAAGACCTGCTTTGGACTATGGGAAGCACAGTTTTATTTCTAGTACTGCCAATGAAATGCCTTCTGTCAAAGGAAAAAAGGATAAAAGCAACCCAAATCTGTGTTAATCTGAGCTTTTGAGGTAATTTTAACAATTTTATGTCTTTAATAAGGATGTGTTTTATTTCAGCAGCTTTGCTCACATAAAATAATGGTTCAAATTAAGTGTCCTAATTATGAATTAAATGGAAGAGGATTGTAATTTAAATTCTCATTGAATGCTACCAAGTTATTTAATAACCATAACCAGAGTTGTATACTGCATAGTTGCTGCATGTGTAAAACCCTGTGTGGTAACCCACCAAATGTTTTACTTACACCCAGGAAAGTGCAAATTCTCCCTCATGTTTTACAAGCGCTTACTTTAAGGACTTCAAGGATTTCAGTACTGAAAAAATGTCAAAGTTATCTTGATATATATCTTATGACAAATAAAATCAAAGTCTGTAGTCCTTATATCTCTGTAATACCTGAGCATTAATACCTGCATTAATGACTTTATGTTCTTGTTTTTTTCCAAATTCTTATAACATTGCAATCACTTGGGTAGCTGAAAGCTTTAGAAGCAGGAGTTAGAGGCTAGTGGATTGATATTTTAGGCAGAGCTCTGGGGGTTCTATGTGCTTTTCCTGTGGTGCAAGCCCTGCACAAGGCAGCTGTGTGGTGGCTCCAGATGTGCCCAGCCCCTCAGCACAGCATGCTGCATTTGCATTTGGGGAACCAAAGGGTCCCTGGGAGCTGTGCTTCACTCGGTGCTTCAGGCTGGCAGGGGGCAGTCAGGCTAAGCTGTGCACTGGGGGATGGCTGCCTTCAGTAGTTTGAGTCAGTTTTCAATGCTGCTCCTTATCCATGTGATAAATGGATAAATGTGAAAAATTTGTTCTAATACCATATTTGTTTCATTACAATTTGTGTCATGCAGTTTTGGAATCTGAAGAGATTTTAATGGAGGAGGTTAAATTTTCTGTCTAAGAGATGGGAAGGAACAAATTTCCTTTGCATTTCTTTATCTTTATTAGTGAGGTGGTAGATTGATTCCTGAAATGAGCTAGATGGCCTTAAAGACAGCTCACATTTGTAGCCATAATATCTGACCCTAAAGGACCTTTGACAGGTGGAGTTTACACCTGTGCCAGACAGTTACAGCTGTGTAAAGGACAATAACAGCACACCTGGTCCTGCTCAGAGCCAGGTGGAATCTCTTGTGTTGGGGGCCCTTGTTGCCTAATTAGGAGAGCTCAAGGAGAAAACTGTAAGGATGGCCTACCTCCCAGGACCTAGATTTTCTGTGCATTGTCAGAGAGATGAAGGAAAATTAGGTCTCCAAGAAGGCCAGGCTTTGCCTCAGAATAATAAGTTCCAGGTTTTAGCTTTTTCCACTGCGTATGATTATCCTTTCTAAAGGAGATTTGAATTGGTAACTATATAATACAAATGATAGATATCAATTTATGCTGTGCTACTTTCTGGGAATGTAATTACAGGCTATGCTTCATTTGATCCATGTGTTAAAAAGAAAGGAACCATTGCAGACTGGTTTCTTTATTTTATTCTTTGTGCAGCTGTGACATTTGCATGAACAGTCCTGAACTGCTACTTCTTATATTTCTGCCAGACATTAAAGATGTTTTGAAACTTACCCAGAAGATGGCATGGATAATTCTTAAAACACATTTGTGAATGAATATTTCAGAGCAAAAGTTAATATTTTTCTTTCTTGTGTTTGCCTTTCAAAATGCCTTCATTTTTTTGCATATTGAAAGTAACTTATCAAGCGTTCAGTAGGATTAATTTGTTTAATGGTTTCTGTGAGAGATTGTATCTGATGGACTATAGGTGATATTTGTCTAGAATACAGGCAATGACCTTAATAGGATCACAAAATCAGGTGGTGAGGTACTCAGGAGACCTGTAGTCCATCCTGGTGCTCAAATCAGATTACTGACTTGGTTTAAACACCTTAATAGAAACAACTTGGATAGGTTTTAATATTATATTTTTTTAAACTTTTTAGAAATGTTGGATTTCTGCAAAAAGGGGAATATTCAACAAGATTTTATGGACATCTGTGACCTACCTTTTTAATGACCATTTGTGTGTCTGACATTTATCCAGTTCTGGGAATGAAGCATGTATTTTACTAATTTATCTCTGATGTATTGGAAAGAATTTGACAATTTGGCAGATTTCTGACGTCTGAAATAAAATAATTTCTTTGAAGTGGTCAGAGTTGAAGCAAACTTGGATAGACAGGGTATATGTGATGCTGATAAAAATTCTGGTGACAAACTTCATGTTATGTGTACGTTATTAAATTAGAAAAAATATTACAAAACTGAAATCTGGTCTGTTGAAAGTTTTAAAAAAAATTCAGAGCTTCAAAGCATCCTACAGAAATTTTTCAGTTCTGAAATATTTTTGCCCTCCATACAGCTGTGTGAAAAATCCCCTGTCTCAGATCAAAGATGTTATCACCTAACAGTGACCTGAAGCTCTCCTGCAGCATAGGAGTTAAAGAAAACAGGGAACAATTCAAACTGTTAACTATCCTGGGGTGCTGGACACAGCATCCTTAGGCAGTTAATGGAGAGAGGTGAGATGTCACATAAGTTCACTGAAATTAAGTGGGTTATCTATAAAAGATGATGTGAACTCAGTTCCAGTTTTCTTTCTTTCTTTGTTTTTTTCCCCCAGTGCAAGCCACTGTCTAGCAGTCCTGATGGTATGAAGCTGAAATCACTGTTGTGCTCTTGAAGTCAGCCCTGAGCAACATGACGGCGAAATTGCAAGTGAATTTCTGTGCCAGATGGGACCTAACTAAACATATAATTGAAACAGTGAGATCACCTGGATACACAAAGCTGTCAGCTATAAAAAAGGCATACTCCTAATAGCTACTGCTAGAAACAGACCAAACCAGTTTTACAGGCAGCATGGTGAGTGCTAAGGAGAGTTTTGTTCATTTATGGCCTGTGCAAATTCCAGTTGCGGCTGTAGGTTATTGCTTCCTCTGGAAAGATGATTCTGTGGGTTCCTGGCATAGCCTCTGGTTCTCCATTTATCCAAACACCACCCAGCCATCATGACATAGCCTCCATTTCCTCTTGAGATTTGAAGAAGTTAAGCAAAATCCACCCCTTATTAATAATCCAATCCAATCCTCCGTGGTATCATTTCCTATTCATTTCTTATTTTACAGGGCCTTAAAAGTTGATGTAAAGGAAATACATTTTGGAACACCTATGTAGGTATTATAATCTTTTTCTTTTTTTTTAAAAAAAAGACAGATAAATTGGGCCCATAAGGCTTATTGTGATTAAAAGCTTCACTGCTTATGGTGAAATTCTAGAGCTACACATATTGCTGCTATTAGCATATAAATGCTCTTATCTGCCAGAGTTGGACATAATCATGAAATATGCCATCATTCCAGGATGAGGTTGGGAGCTGCCTGGGGTCCCATAACATTATGAGAATGAAGTAGCAATACTATTGTCATGGTTGAAGAAGCACGTTCATTTCCACCCCCTCTTTTTTTGGAACTGGTAGTTTTACAGTAAAAATGGCTTACATGTTGGGTAAAAATTTCCGAGGTTTATTTTAATGTCAAAGGTGACTCTTTTTATTTTATTTCCCTAGGTCAGTGACTTTAATATTGATGTGCTTTGTTTTGTTTTTTTTTGAGTAGCATTAAAATCTGTTAAAATTTTAATTATTTTAGATACTGTGCATGTGCATTGAAGACAAAGAGCTTAATAATGGACAAATTTTCAGGGATTTAATCTAAATGTAAAACAAGCACCTCTGGAAAACATTAAGAAATTTATACTGTATTTTATCTGGGTGGTGAGTTTTTCTCTGGAGCTTTTTAGGATCCTCTTTTTTTCTAATTTGTTCCTTATTTGTGTGGTTTTGACTACTGTTGCACAAGGATGTCTGGCAGAGACCATCTGCAGGGCTTTGCAGGAAGGCAGGATCTGAAATGGTCTTTCAGCCTGCCTTTCTTTGTCTCTAAATGTGTGGAACATAGCTGAGAACACCCTTTCTGTGGGCTGAGAGAAAGGTAAAATAGGAGAAGCAACTTCCCACTCAGCTTTATTTTCCAGAATCTCTGTGTGGGTATGTTCTGCCTATAGTATTTCAGTATCAGGCTTTATACAGAGATGTAAACTGAAATAGTGTATATACAAAGTTAAGTAAAAAAAAAGCTGTATGGACTAAACTAAACTGCTCCTGAACTCCAAGTTTCTTTCATTTTCTGATAGTTAGAATAAAAGCTTTTATTGTGTATACTTTTATTTTCACCTAAGGCTTATAATGCAATGACAGAGGATATTTTTGCAGGACATGTGTACTGTGTGAAATTTCAATCGAGATCTTAGAAGAGAGTCTGATTCTGAAAGGTTTCCACTCAGTTTGTAGATAAAACTGGCTATAAAACAGATAAGCATCCAACCTTTGAATTCTTATCTAAGAGGAGCCTTTTGAGGTTCTGTCCTCACCATTTTTCTAAGGGGTACAGACAGTATCAATTCCGTCCCTTGCCAGTCCCAGATCAGTCAATGTCAAGCCTGGATCTATTTTCATCAAGTTATGGAGAATCTCTTAATAGTGTGCATCCTGTTCATTATTTTTGACTTGCACTGTTGAGATTGAATCCATATGTTTATTAATTCCACAAGAAATCTGACTGAAATATAAGGTGAGTAATTTATGAGTTCTGGCTATATTATGGGAACATTTCTGTAAGAAAATACAGTATTCTAAAAAAAATTGCTCACTTATCTTCATAATCATAAATTATCTCACACCTAATTACAAACAGACAGAATGAATAATTGTCTTCATTGAGAACTGTTTGACACTGAGAATATACTGCTTATTTTATAAACTTCTTAATGCACAGCCCATAAATATGTCACAGCTAAGGAGTACTGCATCTTTAAGTATATTAAATGCAGTCTTGTGTAACCAAACATAATAGGATTTTTAAAAGAATTATAACTGAAGAATTTAGCAAATAACTTTTTAAACTTTCTACATGTGTGAAGCTTCTATAAATTGGCCAATTTGAATTACACATCCAAAAAGAAACTTTGACTGTGTTGAAACACATTGCTATTTTTCTTTTTTCATGTGTAGTTAGAAGCAATATGAGACTTCCAGTGATTTTTTTTAAATTCATTCATTTAAAAAGTACCTGTAAATGGGTTTTAGAGCAATAGCAAAGTCAAAGAAATGTGAGCCATTAGAATGCATATGCTTTATTTCAGTGAAGGTCATGCTGACACCTTTATAGCTGCTTCTGGTCTGAACCTGATATACATTGTATTAATTTGCAGTAGGCTTCATTTTTTATCAATCATTCTCATCTTTTATATTGAAAATCTTCTAATTCAAAACTTCATCTTGAGTTGATATGCATTCATTAATAATGCCCCTTGTTGAAGGGATGGAATTTATGTAAAAGATATGGTGACATAAGCTGTGTAGGACATGTCAAACATACTAATCCAAACACCTGGAGAACTGTGGAGGGGGCAAGGGAATAGAAAGAGAGGAAATAAAGGAAATAAATGTTAAATTTACTGGGATAAAAAAAGGAATCCTGTACTTCAAGTGCTAAGAACTCAAACTAAATGATGTATTCAAATACATTCTGCTTTAAGCCCTCAGCCATGGCTTGGTTTCTTGTCTGCTTTTTTATTTTTGGAAAACAACCAGTCTGCATTAAAGTTCCATTCTTCCAGTAATTAATTTTTGCTCATTTCTAATCTAAATTTGCCAAACTTCACTGTTCGGCTGCTCCCAGTTTAAAATCAGAATTTGGGTGCAAAATCCCTTCTTTTCTGTTTCATATGCATGTAAAACACTGTGAAAAAAATTTCACAACTGGCATTAGATTCTTTTTTGTGGTTTCAAACCATACCTGAAACAGATCTGTGCAGCTGTAAAACACAATAAGTAGAGAAATGATGCATAAGCAAAACATATTTTTTACCCAGACTAATACAATTCCACATAAAATAGTGACCTAATATGCTAAAATAATCAATTTACATGCATACAGTTGTGCCTTTTCTAATTATGTAACCAGATTTAGACTACATTTCAGAGACAAACTGCAAATTTCAGTTTAATCAAAAATGTGTTTGAAGATTTCAGTCACTTTTAATTAACAGTTGGGAGGAAGAAAATTCCTGAAAACATTGAAGCATTTAATATTTTTATACTTGAAGGGATAATTTACTTTGGAGATGCTAGTTTGTTTTGCTTTGTTTTGTGCGCTTTTTTTTTTTTTTGCTTTTTTCAACAACAAAATTTCTTAATATCTCCCTTTGAAGTTGAAACAACATTTCATTTAAAAATGTGATATGACCAAAAAAGAAGGTAAAATAAAAGTATCAAATGAAACAACTCTATGAGTTTAGCAGACAGGAAATAGAATGGTGGAGTTAAACAGATGTTGCATAGAATGATGTTTTCTGTGGTTGTTTTTATTTTTTTTCAGCATTGATCAGTTTCAATTGATTTCACAGAAGATGCTGGGGAGATTGCTCTAAAAGAACCAAAACCAAAAAGTGAAACCCAAATAATCACTGTACACAGCCTTTGCAGTGACTATACTGTAATTCCCTTTCTGTTTTTTGTTTTGTTACCTGACAATTTAGGGATCCATCTCTTAGACAGCTTAAAACTATATGAGGCTTAGTAAGATATTTGCATTAAGAAAGTGCTGATGTCTTGTGTGCTATGACCTTAATCTGCACCCAGAACTTTAGGCTCCATTTTGAAGACTTTCAGAAGGAGGGAAGTAAATGATAGCAGTAAACCCAAGTGTAGGCTATGTAAGAATCTAGCAGATTGTGTCAAATGTGTTGAGCACCTGGTAGCTCCTGTGTACTATGAGCTGTGTTTCTAAAAACACTGTCAGTAGCTAAAGTTGAGACACCTTGTTTAAAATACAAAATAAACCAAATCAATTGAAATTAGATTTTCTTTTGTGCTTTTGTGACACAGCCTACCAGGCATCAGGCATTAAAAGAGAGATTAATATAATGAATAAATAGAGTAAATAAAATACTGAAGGAAACGAATACACATTCATCTTCCTTCTGAGCCCTGCAATTCTGTCATTGCAAGTGTTGATAGATTAGGGCAAAATAGGTGTGATGTTGATTATCCAACAGTGTTTCTATTTTTCCACCAAAACACCAAACCCAGAGAGGCAACATTTTGTCTGCTTGCATCTGACTTTCTAGCCTGTGAGATTTCTCAGTTAGATATATGGAAAAGGAGAAAGTCTGGTGGTGACACACAGCTGGACTCCATTGCTGTGACAAAAAACTGTTCCGTTTCGAAATTCTTTATGCCTGGCTGAAGCTGAAAGAGAATGGTGCTGTCTAATGTCTGGTGCCAGATGGCTTTCTGCCTGTTTCGAGTGAGAGCTCAAATGCTAGACCACATTTTAAAATGATACTTCTGGTTATGACCAGTTTTGGATTCATATGGCAGTGGTCTTTATTGCATCGCAATCGTTATGTATTTTATTTCCATGAAAACCTGTTTCACTTTAGTTACAAAAGGGTCACATCCAGTAAGGCATCATAGCATTCAAATTCCATTGCTGTCATGGGGTGTTTTAAATTATTTCTCATTTCATAACTTCTTGAATCGTGTGTTTGCAAAACAATGTCCCTTTTAAAATGTTTGAACTGGAAAGATCAGAGATAACGCCTAACTCCTCTCAGCATGATTTAAGCAGTGTGATCCCTGAGCTCCACTGGATTCAATTGACTGTGGTGGTGGTCTACCTGGAAGTGATTAGCATATTGTTTATGGTAATGGAGGGTAAAGAGGGAAGCATGCAACTTCCCCTGTGTCTCCAAAGGGCTGTGGAATTCAGCCAGGCAGTTGTCTGAGTTGTTTATCTGTCTGCCTGCCTCCTTTGAAGTTCTAAGCCATAGAAGCAACAAGGATTTTACTCTTTTTAGATTATATTCAGAATTTCCCCTTGGCCTGTTTTTATTTGAATAGAAGATATACTATCCATGAACACCGCATTCTACCAAATACTAATTCTCTCATCAGGCCATTATGTATCTCGCATATCTCTCCTGAAAGGTTCATGGCAATATTGCCCTGGTATTTCTTATGTCAGCATTAAGCATTGGAGATGTCAAGGCAAAATAAACCATAAGTAATAGGCTATACTAGAAGCAAATTTAACATATGGTC